AACACTCGTCAGCAAGGTGTACCTGTATTATTCTTAAGGGAACTGATGCTCATTGACGGATTCGATTCTGTGTCATACAACATTACAGTCAGAAATGTTCCTGCTGAGTTATCCAGGTCACAAATGACCCGTAGGCCTGAGATGTATTTACAATTGATTGATCACTGGGTGGTGATCAATGTCATATATGTCAGGTTCTTCTTAGTGTAGATCGAACCCTATAGACCAAATTGCAATCTGGCCACTAGTCTAGATGACGCGATATTGCGTGCACTATATTGAGATAAGATGATGGTTTCCTGTTGACTATCTCCAAGTTAAGTTTTCGATTATGATCACAAATCGATTGATGTCAGATTACCATTAAAAACCTGGAAGTACTAGATGTCCGTTTCGTTCTGGCATGACACTCCTCATCAGTGTGCATCAACCATCCATCTAGCTGGATTCGAACTTGGGACCTTTGGTCTCGTGCGCGAATAAATAACCTCCAGACTACTGAGCTGGAATCCACAACCCAATACTGATAATTACCATATACTCACTGGAAACTGGCTTCGTGAGGGAATTCTCAGAATTCTAGTGAGAAACCATAACCAGTAAAGTTAATCCATATCAGGCAGAGACAGGTATCTATTCTAGTACAATGTAAAAGATGTTCAAGCAATTTCGTGGATTAGTTGAAGTTAGACATTAACACTGTTAGATATCAACTCAATGGTCTAAAGATTAGGCGTTTGTACATGAGACCGAACACTTATTACTCACGCCTGTTTCTCCTCGAGAAGGGGCATAGGCCGCTCACCAGCATTCTCAATCCAACCCTGTCGTGCGTAATGCTTTTCTAGCTCTTTCCAGTCATTATACATCCTTGTTATATCTGATTCTATTTCCCCACGTAATGTTTTCTTTGGCCTTCCTCTTTTTCACTTCCCTTCAGGATTCCAAGTTAGTGCTTGTCTCGTGATGGAGTTTGACGATTTGCGTAATGTATGTCCTATCCATTTCCAACGTCTTTTCCGAATTTCCTCTCCAGTTGGAAACTGCTTTGTTCTCTCCCATAAAAGGCTGTTGCTGATGGTATCCGGCCAATGGATAATGAGTATCTTGCGTAGACAGCTATTTATAAATACTTGCACCTTCTTGATGGTAGTTGTTGTAGTTCTTCAAGTTTCAGCTCCATACAGTAGAACTGCCTTGACGTTGGTATTGAAGATTCTCACTTTGATATTGGTTGAAAGTTGTTTTGAGTTCCATATGTTCTTCAACTGAAGGAATGCGGCCCTTGCTTTGCCAATCCTTGCCTTTACGTCTGCATCTGATCCTCCTTGTTCATCGATTATGCTTCCCAGATATGTGAAGGATTCTACATCTTCCAGACTTTCGCCATCAAGTTTGTCAGGGTTGCTGTTCTCCGCTTTGAATTTGAGAACCTTGGTTTTCCCTTTGTGTATGTTGAGGCCTATTGATGCAAAGGCTGCTGCTACATTGGCTGTCTTTATCTGAATTTGTTCGTGTGTATGGAATAGGAGGGTTAGGTCATCTGAGAAGTTCAAATCGTTTAATTGGTTCTGATATGTCTATTGTATCCTGTGTTTTCCCTCAGATGTCAAGTTTTTCATAATCCCACCGACCATCAGAAAAAAAGAAAGGGGGAGAGTAAACACCTTTATCTGACTTCGGTCCTTGCTTTGAATGCATCTGTCAGCTGTCCTCTATGCACGACGTTGCACTCTAGTTCGTTGTATGAGTTCCGGATAATGTTGATAATCTTCTCATGAACTTTGTATTGTCGAAGAAGTTTCTATGACGTCCTCCAATCTACACTGAAGACCGAACACCCTGGGTTCGAGTCCCGTGAGCGAAATTCTTCAACAAAAACTTATTCAAAATCATTAAAATATCAATAAAACAACTACATCACACATATATATACAATTAATCAATGGAATTTCATATTACATAATAATGTAAATCAATTGTAATTAATAGTTCCGGTCTAATTTCTAGAACAATATCTATTATTGCTAATGATTTCTATGTTAGTAAAAGTTGACAGAATTATTTTTTCTGGTTAGCGTTTTTTTTAGCGAGTTAGTTTTCTACAGGATAAGGTCGTTCAACTCTCCTCCTCTCTTACCCAGGCTTCAAATCAGCAGTAACTCTAGAAGAGCTATAGGAGGAGTTATGTTATTAAAAGCTATAACCTTAATTATATAGAATAGAATACCTAAGAGATATAAGAAATAACTAATTGTATATTATGCATAAATGATATGAATGTTTAAAAGGAAATGAATTAGACAATGATAAATTGTTATTTTATGGTACTCTAGTTGTCCGTTTCCCCTCCCCCTACCTCTCCCCCTCCCCACCACAAAATATTGGAACAGTATTTATTTAATTCAAGGAAATGGTAACCAAAATCTTAATAAAGGGGAGTATTGCATTGTGATTATTATGTCTACTGAAATCTTCTATTAAGTAGTTTCTGTATAGATTAATTTAATCTGTAAATTATGTTTGTTATAGATTGATTTCAGTTGAAAGGCCATTAGAAACCATCAAGTATTGAGATTAGGTGTTTTACTCTAGTATAGATCTCCACAGAAGTACACAGAAATACAACCCTGCCTAAGGACTGAACCTAGAAAATTCTAGTTTTGTGGTGAATATTTATCCAAAAGCCCTACTATTGTAGTGAATGAGAACACAAATGGGGGGGGGGAATAACAGAATCTCTTAGTAAAATATAAGAACCATCTAGTAATGTCATTCGATTGTCCTATACTTCATTATTGTTTTGTCTCCACATTAATCACTCTTTGTTGTCGTTCTCTATTCTTTGATTTTCTTAACTTTCTGCCTCCAGGTATTTCACTTTCGATTGATGATATATAATACTTATATCTGTCAATATCAGTAGCACACATCACATTATTCAGTACCTTTTAGTAAAAAATATGAATATGAATATATGAGTGAATTTATAAATCTGAAAAACTCTGCCTGGAAACCCTCTTAGGTTACTGCCAGTCTCATACCTGGATGAAAAAGAAGGGTTAGGCATATGGAGTTAGCAACCCCATCCCATAGAAAACTAACTCACTACAAAAAAGGCTAACCAGGAAAAATAAATAATCCAAGTAAATAAATCTAGAAGTTGATTGAAATATAGATATCAAGGGTTACTTATTTTCATAGGTAGAATTTAGTAAAGATTCATTTATATTAGATTTTTTATTCACCAAGGATGAAATTAATCTAAAGAACCATTTAAAACCAGAAAGCATTGCAGACAGGTTTGACCTCAGTGTAAAAGTCCTCAAAAATCATTCGATTTGTGTGATGGTGGATTACTTATCGGGTGCCCAACCCAATGTAGGTGGTTTGCTTAGGGAGTCACAACCTTCTCTCAGCCGTACCAAGGCACTTGAGTACTCCTAAAATTCAAATGATTTACACTCTAACACATCCTTTATCCAGTTTTACTGATGATGGCTATTTCATCTCTCGCACAACCAAACTCTACCATTTGTGACCCCCCCCCTATTAGAACCTGGGAAGCTCCTACGAAGGATGATGACTGAGATAGATTTAATTTATGAATAATATTTACAGTGATTTGACCTGTGTATTATGTGTGTGTGTTTGTGTATATGTGTATTTATTACTCTTGAATTCCATACTGAAACAATGTAAATGTTCAATATCCCGATGAGACTACAATTTATGGAGGACCTTCGAGTGACGCTAGAATGATCTTGAGAATGTCTATCTACTTACTAGGATTAAATGAGGGTTATAAACTAACGGTTAATGGTTAAGAATTAAACTCATCACGAACTGATATTAGCTACAATGCCAATGGCAAGACTATAATTTATTGGACGAACCAATTACGTATAAGATAACAGGTTTCGGATTTTGGCTTAGTATTCATTCATTTGTTTGGCTAAATAGCGTCTTGACATTTAAGATAATTTCAGTTTATGATGAAAACCCTAAATCTAATTCCTAACCTTAACCATCAAATATACAGTCAGTCAGTCAGTAACAACGTAGAACTTCGTACCTACGTATATCAGTTCGAGTTGCCACACCACCTTAACACAGAGATGCAGTTGTCGATTCAAATCCCATTGTGGTAGAGGTAGCAAGAGTGTAAGCAGTGATCGGGAAGATTAGGGTTTGGAGATGTTATTTAAAGAGTATAATTCAGTGAAATAAATTTGGAAAGAGGAAAAAAGGGACATGAAGAATTTAGAAGATTAGAATTCGGGAGAACACAAAGAGTAAATGCACCTGCGCCATTGCAAACGATTTTGGGCCATGTCATTCAGGGTCTCTAACCATCGGTTGCTATCATCTCGCGGTCCCCAACCAGGTAGTATACACCTACCAATATGACTCAGTCCACTTGTCAGTGACTTCATAGACTTGTGCCATGTTTTGGTCTGGCCGCCCCTAGCTTTCTTCAAACCTACTCCTATACCATTGAACATCGTACGTTGGGGCAGTCGGTGGTTGGGCATACGTGACGCTTGTCGCAGCCATCTCGACTGATGAATTTTCACTACTTCATCAATGTATTTGCCAACCTTACCTAGTACTCGTTTCCAAACAACAGTATTACTTATTCGGTGGTCCTGGGATATACGAGCAATGCTTCGAAGACACATACGATCAAATACTAGTAACCTACGAATATCCTCTACTCTTACCGGCCATGATTCACTGCTATTATCTTTATTTGATCCTAGTTATTAGATAAACAGCCTGAAGGTTATTTTACCATCGCTCAAAGGTCATCCATATATTAAAGTTTCAATCATTATTCAACTAAATGAATTTCGCGCTCAAAATTCAATATACATTATCTTACATCTAATTGGTTCATTCATAAATAATAATTTTACCGCTTATTTCTTTTGTTTACATAAATGATATTTTTCTTCTTTTTCTTTTATTTGAATAGATTATTTTATTAAATCAAAATTATGGGAAATTTTGTTGGACCAAGAAAAAAATTATCAAGAGAAGATTTAACATTTCTTAAAGAGAATACACATTTTACTAAACGACAAATTAAACAATGGTATAATGGATTTATAGTAAGTGTTTATATACTACTAATATTATGTTTATGAATGGCTTTATTCAGTTCATCATATTTGTGTGTGAGGGCTGTGTTACTGCCCGGGTGCCCAAACCAAAGCAGGTGGTTTTCTTAGGGGGTCACTCTCCGAGCCTTTGACCTGAAGGTCTGATCCACAAGGCAATGGAGCATCGTGAGGAGATGCATTCCAAAGGAAGCCGGTGACCAACAATCGGTTCATACGCCATTTGTTCCCGCGGGATACTGGAGCCCATGTGTAACATTGATTTGGTATGGGATCAGGTTAAAGCGCCGGACATTCGCTTTTCGTCCTCTCATCTTCATAAACAACAGTGATGCCACAAGAAGGCAATGAATAGGACATCCCTGGTAGATGCTATATACGCGTGGCCATGTGAGGGCATTTCGAGAGGGGGCGAGCCCACCTCACTCTCGGTCATACCAATGCATTTGGGGTCTTTATTCAGTAATATATATTTTGGCATTATTATATTTAGAGCTTAGATTATTTGATAAAACTTGAGCAATCGAATGCTAGGATCCTTCTCTTAAGTATAGAAGAGGAAGAACCGCATCATCATTATAGTCCTCTAATCTATTATTAACATTTGTTCATTAGAGAATATTCTTTTAAAAGACGTTTGGATGAAGTATTTTTGGTTATTTCTGAGCTTCTTAGAGCTTCCTCAAGTTCACCTTGAGGCTTTCCTTTCAAGTATCAGAAGGGGTTTTGTGGAGATTATAGTAATTTCAACAGTTGAGATCATGGGTCAATTGAAGCTAGACCACCATGAGAAACCTGGAAGCACTGGATGATGGTTTCGTTCTATTATGGGACTCATCTTCAGTGCGCATCCATGATTCCGGCTTGAGAGATTCGAGCCCAGGACCTATCAGTCTCACGCCAGGCGCTTAACCAACTAGACCACTGAGCCGACATCTAACGGTGTTAATGTCTAGCTTCAACTAATCCACAAAATTGAGCGACACATCCACCATTATCTTCAATGAGTTATTACCTCACAGCAGACCCGGTTGAACTCCACTGGTCACTGCTTCTCACTAGAACTCCAGGATATATCTCTTGAAGCCAGTCACTAGTGAGCATATGTTGATTAGTATCAGAAGGGGTTTTATGGAGATTGTAGTAATTTCAATAGTTGAGATCATGAGTCAATATATAATATATATAATATAAAATTCTCAACAGAATATATTTCAGAAAGTTTTCATTTTTATACTTCATGATTGATCCTAATGATAAATATTGATTGATCATTAGTTTATATGTTAACAGTTTAGTCAATCAATCTCTAAATAATGTACATTCGTTTTGTTGTATATTACTAGTAACTACAATATCTGTGATTGGTCACTATTATAACTTCAACAATGAAAAGTTGTATACATTTTAGAAATAAACCAGAATAGGTTATACGATTGATTGACATAATGATCTATTAAGACAAATAAGGAAATAGTAAACTGATTGAAAGATCTAGATGGTAGGAATATATAGCTTAGATATTCAAGCCGGTCGCTAAATTCTTTTGATTTTTAAAGAGACAAATACATCTAACTGACAAAACTTAATTAATTTCTGGATTTCATTTCTAATGATTATTCAACTTGTGAAAATAGAACATAATATCAACATATTCATTCATACCAGGAGATTAGATACTAGGAAACAATGTATGTGTGTTCTATTCTGTGTTTTACATCAATCTTTTAACAACAATAATACATTCCTATTCCCAAATTCACTATTAATAAACACAAATGGTACTGGGTTCGAGTCTCAAAGTGAACATCAACTCTATGGTATAGGTACATCCAGCTGACAAGTTTCAAATAGGACGAAACGCATGTCCTGAATTTCACTACTAACCACTATCCTTGTGATTTAAGGCTATATCGAAACAATCTGCACAAGATGCATATATACCAAATCCTAAATAACAATGAGAAGATACAAGTAAAACAACACCAGATAAATTTAACCATAGACATTATTTAGTTATATACCATTAGAAAAATAGCTGTTTACTTCTTCTTTAACCCAACCCACTTCCTCACCTTCAATGAAGGGCGTATGTTGTCAGCTGACACAGTTATATTACTTTTTTATTTTTTTGATTTCACTTATAAAACAATATCCCTTAACGACAATCAACTTAGTCGGTAAAGCAACAACAAAAAAACAGAAACAAAAATAAAAGATAATAATTATAAATACTTCAAATCATATGACATTTTATGGTTGATTTCATCAACAACAGCAATAACCACCACCACCACCACAACAACAACAACAACAAGATAGTTAGTCCCTTTACATATGAACAATCTTCTATCAATCAATTAACTAATCTGTTCATTGAATCATTTCCTTATTCATTTATCTATCTAATTATTTATTATTATTCATTTTAAAAAAATATAAAAAAACAACTTAACTGGAATTTTTTTTATTATAATGAATTACTAATTGAGTAGATTAGTTACTGAGTAGTATAGAATACAAAATTCCCACTAAATTGTACCTTTTATCGATTTTTGTTGTTGTTCTTGTTCTTGTTCTTGTTGAGATACAATATATTTCACCCATTAATGTTGTTTATTTTTATTATTATTTATGTCACTTGGATATACTACTTTATGTACTTTATCTAAGTAGTAAGTAATTAAATCTTACTATGTATATATGTATATAATAAGAGTAGTAACAACCATTTCCGGTGGACAAGTTACTGTAGAGAAAAAAAAAGAAATTTGGCATTTTATGATTATAATTACATATTACAATATACCTAACCCTACTGATTGATATCTTATATCCCTACATATCCACTCACACACATACACACGTACATACATAACTACTTCTACATGGATACACATATACAGATAATCATGGATACTTAAATTGCATAAATTGATGTTGAGTGAAACAACTAGGAAAGAGTAGATATTACCCTATGCCTAGTGTAATATAGAGTTAGCAACATAATATTAGATTGAGTGGAATAGGAAAGAATCAAAGCGTTATTATTATTATTATTATTATTATCATTATTAGTATTAGTATTATTAGTATTATTAGTATTATTAGTATTCAGTTTCACTATCTCAGTTTTTACCATACTATTTTTAGAAACAATAAAGAAAACCATGGAGAGGAAGGGGGGAAAAGTTTAATGTGTAACAGTTTATAAACCATTAATTATGGAATAAATGATTGAGTTTTTTTTAAGTAATTTATTCAATAGTAATCATTTTTACTATGGTTACTTACTTACGCCTGTTACTCTCAATGGAGTATAAGCCGTCGACCAGTATTCTCCAACTCAGTCTGTTCATCTGGTATTCATTTTTCTCATGTCTGTTTCCATTTCACGATGTAATGTGTTCTTTGGTATTCCTCTTCTCTTTTGACGTTCCCTTGATGGTTCCAGGTGAGGGCTTGTCTTGTGACGTAGTTGGATGCTTTCCTCAATATGTGTTCTATTCACTTTTAGCGCTTCTTACAGATTTCTTTCTCAACTGAGATTTGGTTTATTCTCTCCCACAGTAGGTTGTTGATGATAGTGTCTTGTCAACAAATCCGAAGTATTTTGTGCAGACAACTAGTTCAGGAAGAATAATGGACACCCGCTGACATTTATTGAGAAATATAGAAAACGTGAAGATAAAAAACCTAAAGAAATTACAGCAAATAAAAAGCCTTTTTTTTCAACTTAAATTCAAAGGTGATAATGTCACAGGATCAATCAATATAAGACTAAAAACTGCATTGACAAGAACTTATTCTTCAGCAAAATTGATTGTCCTGTTTAAAACAACATGTTCTTTGACACAATCAAAGGTCGACAGTTATCCCTTTCATGTTACCAACAACTGTGTATACAAATTTACATATATCTGCCATAGCAGTTACATTGGTAGAACAGAAAGGAGAGCCTACGTTCGATTCAACGAACATATTCCGAAAGGTTTGTGATCAAACGGACTAAAAGCATTTAGCAGCGCTATCGCAAGACATCTGCTTCACACAGGACATGAAGTTGATATACTGAAGTCTTTCAAGGAGATTAACAAACAGTCAAACTCCAACCTTCTGAAATTTACTGAAGCGTTAACAATCAAACATCTGAAACCACATCTATGTATACAAAAAGAGACCGTAGTAAATCTGTCTTTACTATGGTAACAATAGCCCCTCCCCCTCTTTTTGAAGTTTAAATTACATCATACATAATTGACTGATTTCAATTCTTATTTTTCTTTATTATCATTCAATGTTCTGAAATTTTAACTCCTAAACTTTATTTATTCAAGACAAAATTCTTATGACCTTATTAACTCTATCGGAATCTTCGTTACGATCATGATACACATGTTATTCATCCTTAATCACTCTCTTATGTATAAATATGTCAATATCTGTAATAATGTTGATTTCAGATATATTTTAGGTTGTAAACAGCTGATGGAAAACTTAACAAAATAAAATGAATCCATTTATTATTCTGCATCAATCTTTGTTCTTGTTCTCTTTAAGATAATAAAGGGAACTATGTGTATGAAAGTACTTCCAGATTTATGACTAGTGTGGTGTATGCTACTTATATTGACATAAGTAGTATATAACGCTAGTCATGAATAAAAATGTCTGGTAACAGAAACTCAAGAAGATCAAGGAGGAAAGAATAGGGACAGAAAGCAATTGGTATGGAAATACAAGGAACAATGAAGTCTGAGACGATTGACTGATATTTACAAAAGGAACAGTCAAGTTTGGTACAACTGATAGACATTCTGCAAATGAAGCATATACCGTATGGTTCTCAAATTTTACTGAGAGATTCTGTTATTTTTTACTCGATTTTATGTCCCCACCACCATTCAAAACCTGGAAGCATTGAACGGCCGTTTCGTCCTGGTATGGAACTCTTCAGAGCATAATGTTTTGTTCAGTTATGTCAGTCAGTT